CCGGGCCCCGCGCCGCCGAACTGCCCGCCGCCCCCCGCGCCGCCGCCGCCGCCGCCGCCCCCCGGAGCCGCCAGGCTCTGCTGCTGCGGAGGCCTCTGGCCCCCGCCCGCCTGGAAGTTCATGGCTCCGGAGGCGCGGGGCCTGAAGCGGGCCCAGCCAGGGCCTGGGGCGGCGCAGCGGCGGCGGCGGCGAGCAGGCGCACGGGGCTGGCGGGACCCTAACTACGAAGCGCGCCGCGCAGGGCTAGCGCATGAGGCCGGGAGCCGAAGCCAGAAGGCGCGGCCGCGCACGCTGGGGCCGCCGCCCGGCGTTTACCGGCGCTGAGATTCCGCCGCCTCGGAGCTGCCTCCAGCGGCAACAACAACGGGACCGGGAGCGCGCGGCCCGGGCCCTCCCCCCGCGTCATGCGCACGCACCGCCGCCCCCGCCGGCTCCGGCACACGCAGCCGAGCCCCCCTCCCAGCCGCCCCCACCCCTCCAGCGCGTCGCCTGCGCCCCCGCCCCTCTCTCGCTCGCCGGCGCCTCAGCCTCCACCCCCAAGAGCCGCGTGTTGGCCGCGGCACGCGGCCCCACCCACCCGCATAGGCCCTTCCGCCCGCTCGCCCGCCCCAAAGCTAGGCGCCTCGAGGGCCTCCTGCCTGGGACACGACCACGCTGCTCCCGCGTCCGGCCAGCTGTCATTTCTACCTCTTTACATCCCTCTAGGCCGGTGTCGAATCCTTGGGCCACTCGGAACAGTTCCCTGCGCCTGAGGGTGCTGATAAATGGGACTGATTGGCCCGCCCAGGCCCAGCGGCGCCACCCTTTTAATGCTGCACCAGCTTCCCTGTCTCCAGGCCTCGAGGTCAGCCCTAGGGATCATGCCAGGGTTCTCTTCCCTGGCTCTCTGCCCGGGTCTCCACTGCTGGCTGCACCGCAGAGACTGGGACACGCTCCCGTTCCTATTTCCAGTTCTCCCTGAGAGTTTCACCCGAGGGCCCCTGCAAGCTTAAAACAACAGTGTCCCAATTCTTATCTCTCAGTGACAGCCTTCTCTACCATACTGAAGAAGGTCCATTGGTTCATTAAAGAAACTCACCAGAACCCATATGGGTCTCATAATTTTTCTTGTCCTATGCCCTTGTCTATCTTGTCCCATCCTAGGGCCAGAGATAGCCCTTCAATGCCCCAGTTCGTATTCCCATTATCAAGGTTATTGTCTTCAGCTGTGTTAACCCACATCCCCAACATAGATCCTCAAACCTCCAGGAGGTAGCATGTGCAAGGGAAAGACCCTGTGGAATAAATCTGCTAGAGGATGCCAGGTGTCATGATATACGCCTTATCCCAGCACAGGGGCCATAGAATAGGATTAGTTCAAGGATAGCCTGGGCTACATAGGAAGTTCAAAGGTAACCTGGGCTATACGAGACTTTAAAACCAAACCAGCCAAATATGAGCATATGCCTAAAGTCCCTGTGTTAGGAAGGCAGAGCCTAGATCACCAACCCTGTCTCAAAAATGAAAAGCAACATTGGGTGGTGGTGAGGTACACACCCTTAATCGAGGCAGGGGCAGCAGATCCATGAGTTCAAGACCAGCCTGGTCTCCAGAACAGCCAGAGATACACAGAAAAAAAACTATCTCGAGGGGGGAAAAAGTCATATTATGTCTGAAATAATTATTATGCTATGCCAGGTATAAATGTTTCAAGGTTTCTATAACCCTCATCTAACTTTGATGTAAATTATGGTCTTTATGGGTTTTGTCTTTTTTGACTCTGTACCTCTGAGCTTGGACACTAACAGACTTCAGAGACGAAAACCATCTCTTGGTCTGACTATCAATAAAAACTTAAAACTTTTAATTAACTTAGCATAGTAGTCAATACTATCTTAAGTGGGGCATTTCACCATTGATATATTCACCCTCTCTCTCTTTTGGTGCTAGGGTTAGACTTCAGGACCTTGTTAACCATGCTGGGCAAATGCTCTACACATAGCTATATTCATAGCTATGGCATGTGTATGGTGTTTTCCTTGTGTGTATATATGTGTATTATGTACAGACAAGTACCTGATGCCTGTGGAGGTCAGGATCCTCTGGAACTGGAGTTACAGATATTCTTGAGCTGTGGTATAATGAGAAATGAGCTTAAGTCCTCTGAAAGAACAGCCACTGCTCTTAACTGGTGAACCATCTTTCCAGCCCACATGTCATCTTTCTTACACTCATTTCCACTTCAAAGGGCAACCTGGACTTTTTCCCAAAATAAAATTGCCTATTATTTGACTTTTTACATACCTTCCTACATTTCTCTTAGTTTCCAGAGGACCGGGCACGAACCAATCAACTCCAGGACCTCTCAAACTATTGAATGACAGGAGAGCTTCTTCTGTACAACTTGAGGAGTATCTTGTAAACTTCCTGGTTTCCTTGTAAACTTGCTGTACCTGTTGTGGTTGCTGCTCTTGCAGAGGACTCTGATTTGGTTCCCAGCACCTACATGGCTCCTAAAAACTGCCTATCACTCTAGTACCAATGCCTTAGTCTGACCTCCAGAGGCACCAGGCATGAGCATAGTATACTTACATATATTCAGGCAAACACCCATACAAATATAATATACACACCCCCTCTTTTTTTTTTTAAATAATTAGGGACTTGTTCTGCAAGCATAAGGACCTCAACTTGACTCTTCAGTATTCATGCAAAAGCCAGGCATGAAAGTCTCTGCCTGTAAACTTAGCATAAGGGAGCAGAGACAAGTTCTGTATGTGTACACTCACATTTATATCTCTCACACACATACACACATGCATGTGCAAACTCCCAAGTAAAAACCTGTCTGTAAAATCCGGGATTCAAGATTTCTGCAGATACTGGAGTCAGAGGAATAAGGAAAAAAATCTACAGATATTAGCTGTCATGGAGCCATTGCTATATTCTTTATGCGGAAACACTTTTTTGAGGGTGGGGGGAATAAGATAGGCTCTCTCTAGGTGGCCAAAGGTAGTCTCAAACTCCTAATCTTCCCACCTCAACCTCCCAGTGCTGGGATTACAGGGCTATGCCACCATACTTAGCCAATTTCTCAGTTTAGTTTTTGGTGAAGCCAATGCATTAATACTAGGCAAGCAAATTATAGTGAGTGACATATATTTTATAGAGCTGTCATACTTATTTAATAAAACACCAAGTTTCGTCTTTCCAACTGACCTAGAAGAATTATGCTTGTTCAGAGATTAAATAGCCCACCAGAGATTATATAGCTGATGAGTCTACGTGAGACCTCAGGATGTATGCTCTGTTCCAAAGCCTATGCCACCTTTACAGTCTCATAGGGACACAGTGGAGGAGACGCCAGGAAAGGAGACAGCAGGGGTCCGGCACTGTCCTTAGCAAGTGGGGAAAGAAACCCACGCCTTCTCGGCTAGAGTCAATTTAGAAAACCAAGCTGCTTTCTGACGTCCACTGTGACACAGGCTAGGCTGGGGTAGTGGCCACCTGCGCTCCCCAGAGCCTTCATCACTGCATCAACCAACGCGGGTGCTCTGACGTGCTGCGGCTGACGTTGGTGTCAGGAGTGACAGATGCTCTAGCAGCTGGCGGCGGAGATAGAGTTTCTTGCAGCTGACCAAACCTCTGTAAACAAGCAGAACCCCCAGGGTCTTCCCCGTGGGCCCATCGACGATCCACGAGTACCGGGAACATCTGGCCCAGCCTGGCACTTGGGTCACAGGGAGGAGGGCGGGAACTAAACAGGGCGAACTACAATCCCCACAATGCTCCCGGGCCTCGGCAACAGGGAAGGAGAGAGACCGCAGGTGTCTGCGACCTCGGTGCCTTCGGCCCGGAAGTGCCCTAGGAGCCGAGATGGAGCTGGTGGAGCTGGGCGGTGAGTCGCTGTGCGTGGCCGCGCCCACCCGGTCGCCCCAGGCCACAGCTGGGCCCTGCTTGCCCCGCCCCGAGATCGCTGGTGCCCTCCAGTAGCTCTGGGGGGCGGGCAGATGGGAGGAGTGATGGAGCAGTCGGGGGTGGGGAGGGCTAAGTCTAGATTCTCCCCGAGGGATCAAGGGTCTGGAGGCCTGTGGGTTTGGCACCCAGGAGACACTGAGTCGGACTGCTGCGGGGTGGGCTTTGGGTGGACCCGAGAAGGGGTCGGCAACCGAGCTCCCTAGACTCCAGATTGGCCAAAGGCGGAGTTTGACGTTTGGGGTTGTCTAGGAAGCTTTGGGAAGCGGTCTGTGTCGTGGGTGGGGTTTGGGTAGATGGTAAGGGGGAGGTCAGGGGGTTATAGAGACCCTTTTCTCAGAGAAACTTAAGCGACAGGACATCAGATGGGCTTTGCTATAAATAGCTGAAGGAGTAAACTTTGGGATGAAGTGGACCAAAGAATAGGTAAGTTTTGGGGTGAAGTTTGATGAAGGTTAAATTTAAGGAGAGGGTTGCTTAGAAAAGCAAGGCCCTTTCTTGAATGTAGGGTTTGGGTGACTCGAGAGCTGAATGAAGATCTAGAACTCAGATAGCCAAGTTAAGACTTGAATCTAGTGATGGAAAGGGACATACAAAAAAGGCAAGTTTGGGACTACAGGATGCTGTATCCTGAGTGGGCAAGAACACAGAATAACTAGGACAGTTGAAGTTGGGGTGACTCCTGGCCAGAAAGCAGCCTCTCACCAGTTCTTTGTACCCCTCTAGCTCCTTAGCATCTCTGGCAACACAGGTGCCATGGCCTTGATTGAAGGCGTAGGCGATGAGGTGACTGTCCTTTTTGCGGTGCTTGCCTGCCTTCTGGTGCTGGCCCTCGCCTGGATCTCAACACATACCACTGAGAGTACAGACCCCCTACCCCAACCATCAGGGACCACAACACCAGCACAGCCCAGTGAAGCCATGGCAGCCACTGACAGCATCAGAGAAGAGGCCCCAGGGTCTGAGAGTCCCAGCCTGAGACACAGAGGTCCATCTGCACAACCAGAGCCTGACACAGGGGTCACAGCATCAACACCTCCAGACTCTCCACAGGAGCCCCTACTGCTACGGTTGAAATTTCTCAATGACTCTGAGCAGGTGGCCAGGGCCTGGCCTCAGGACACCATTGGCTCCTTGAAAAGGTAAGCCGGGAAGAGGGTAAGAACAAAATGCTAAAAATGGGGTGGGTAAAAATAGAAGGGCCACCATATGAAGCTCTCCCTTATTTTCTGTTTGAGAAAACAGTCTGCTCATATTACACTCCATACCTCTTAACCTGGTTCCAGCCTGTCCCCCAGAGGCCAGGCTTTGGGTGATCAGGTGTAGGGTGGGGGGTGAAAGTTGGGATTGGTCCTCTGAACAAAGGACCAGGATTGCCTGAGGCCTGCTCTCTTACCCAGGTCCCTCTCTCCTCAGGACCCAGTTTCCAGGCCGGGAACAGCAGGTTCGACTCATCTACCAAGGTCAACTGCTAGGAGACGACACCCAGACACTGGGCAGTCTCCACCTCCCTCCCAACTGCGTTCTCCACTGCCACGTGTCCACGAGAGTCGGTCCCCCACATCCTCCCTGCCCACCGGGGTCAGAGCCCGGCCCCTCCGGGCTGGAAATCGGCAGCCTTCTGTTGCCCCTGCTGCTTCTGCTGCTGCTCCTGCTCTGGTACTGCCAGATCCAGTACCGGCCCTTCTTTCCCCTGACCGCCACATTGGGCCTGGCCGGCTTCACCCTGCTCCTCAGTCTCCTGGCCTTTGCCATGTATCGCCCGTAGTGCCTCCACGGGCTTTTGGCAGTGTAGCAGGCCCCTCTGGACCTCATTCCCCAAGGCGCAAAGGGAGCTGCTGTCTGCCCAGGCCCACCTCACCCGCTGCCTGTCTTTTCCCACTACCCTGGAGCCCAGCCTTGCGCAGCAGAGGACTCCAGGTGTTAGCGGAGGCCGGTCCATGTGATCTTCATAGTTCTGGGCCATCTCCTGGGACTGCTGGCCCTCAACCTTCGCTGCCAGTGGGTTCTTCTGGATCAGGCACTTGCTGTCGCTGCCTTGGCCCGGCACAGAGCCAGGTCACCCCAATGGGCCCATCTTAAGTGTGCTGACAGAGGATCTAGATACATCTAGTTTCAAAGAGCTGCCAAGGCTGAATTGGAAACTGGTGGACTGGGAGGCTGGTGAAGGGGAATTGAGAGGGGGCAGAGTTGTTTTCTGGAATTTGTGCAGATTAAAGAAACTGTGACGTTTTCACACCTAGTGTGTCTGTATGGGACTTGAAGGTGGGGAGCCCTTGTCCTAGAAGAATGGGACCTGCCCTAGGTCCTGAGTGCGCAAGCTACCCCAGAGCTGAACAGCGGACCGCTGCTCCCTGCATCTTTCAGGACAAGTTCTGTGGCCCGTCCCCGCGACGCGCGCACTTCCCGGAAGCGGAGGGCGGGGCTCGCGACTCCTCTGCTCGCAGCGCCTGCCGGGAGCCACGTCTCTGCTGCCCTGGCGCTGAGCTGCTATTGGCGTCTGGGGGCGGTCCGGGGGCTGCTGGGAAGATGGCGGACTCGGTGGCCCGCTGATGAGGAGGCCGCGGGGGGAGCCCGGCTCCCGGGCCCCGAAACCAACTGAGAGAGTGACCTACGCGGGGCCCAGGGAGTCATGTAGGGTGGCGCCTGCGGGGAGGACCCCGGGAGGGCGGCGGGAGCTGGTATTAGCGGCGGTGGCCACGAGCTGCTAGCCTCCTGGGGCCGGGACAGGGTGTGGGGGCCCCTCCCGCGGACAGCATCAACTCCGCGCCTTGGCAGACGGCTCACTTGGGCTCGGCGCGCGCCCTGCGAGGTTGCGCTGCGTTCTCATTTCACTAGTGAGGAGACTTAGGCAGAGAGGCGAAGACATTAGTCCAAGGTCACTCAGCTGGTAAGTGGGAGCGCCCAGCATTGGACTCTCAGCACCGGCCCGCTGCGGAACCTGCATTCCACCCACCCCGCCGCCGCCTCCTGCGGGAGGGGGAGGTGGTCGGCAGGGCTCGTCGTCGGGACCACCGGGTCTCCAGGCTGGGTGCGACCACTAGCCCTGTGAATGACCTCGGGCTTAACCTCTCCACCGCACTGGGCCTTGTTTCTCCACCTGTGAAATGAGGTAATGCCAGCCCTGCGACTCCTCGTCGGCGTGCACGGAGCATCGAAGGAGATATGCATGTGAAATATGAATAGAGTTGCACTGAGCACACTTAAAGACTTAGGGTTTCTGTTTCAAGGAATGGGAGAAGAGGGGCAGAATGGGGAAGAATACCAGAGCAGTCACACGGGATTTTTTTTTTTTTAACTTCAGGCCCTTTGGATGGGGAGTCAGGTAAGGACTAGATAACATATCTCCCCTTGGAGGAAACCTCACCCCGTTTTCTGGGCCACCCCCTCAGGGTCTCCACCACCCAGCTCCATGCTTCGAATCCTGCTCTCTGCTCAGACTTCCCCTGCTCGGCTGTCTGGTTTGCTGCTCATCCCGCCAGCACAGCCCTGTTGTTTGGGACCCAGCAAGTCCGGGAACCGGCCCTTTGGAGGAGGCCCTGTGCAAGGCCTTCAACGGCTTCTGGAACAGGCACGGAGCCCTGGGGAGCTGCTGCGATGGCTGAGCCAGAACCCCACCAAGGTGCGAGCCCATCACTATCCTGTGGCACTTCGTCGTCTGGGCCAGCTCTTGGTGTCTCAGCCTAGGCCCTCTCCTGTGGAGCAGGCCACACTGCAGGACTTGAGTCAGCTCATCATCCGAAACTGCCCCTCCTTTGACGTTCACACCATCCATGTGTGTCTACACCTTGCAGTCTTACTTGGTGAGGAGGGTATTGGAAGGTGTGGGTGTTTAGGGAAGAGTAGAGGAAGAGAGAGCAGTAGAGGACTCAAGCCATTGATAACTCTCAGATTCCCATCCAGTGATGACACCCCCCCAAACACACTTGATGATTTCTCTCTTGTATCCATGGTGGATATCCAAGTCAAACAGCATTTTTCTTTCTTTCTTTCTTTCTTTCTTTCTTTCTTTCTTTCTTTCTTTTTTTTTTTTTTTGGTTTTTGTATTTTTTCAAGACAGGGTTTCTCTGTGTAGCCCTGGCTGTCCTGGAACTCACTCTGTAGATCAGGCTGGCCTCAAACTCAAAAATCCGCCTGCATCTGCCTCCCAAGTGCTGGGATTAAAGGCGTGTGCCACCACCACTCGGCCAAACAGCATTTTTCTAACTCCGGGGTACTAGGTTCTAATACAGTGCTCTAGGAAGCCACAGAGGCACAATTTGTTATACTTGGCACAAGGTGACTTTTGTATAAGGCTTTCCCCACATACTGTTGATACACCATGTTCACATGATACCATATCACATCCACTGAAAAAAAGTATATTTTTCCATTCAAGAAAGATAACAATGAATTTGGGGACCCATTCATTCTACTTGGCAAGACAGCATACCGCAGCTCCCTTACCAGGGTGGTCTTTGTCCGTCTCCCTCCCAGGCTTTCCATCAGATGGACCACTCCTATGTGCCCTCGAACAGGAGCGAAGGTCCCGTCTCCCTCCAAAACCACCTGTCCCACATCAGCCTGCTGTCTATGGTCAAAGGTTGGAAGTGGCCCTGAGCTGCCCCCGTTTCCTGCATTATCCTCGTCAGCATCTGATCAGAAGCCTGGCAGGTGCCGAGGGTTAAAAGCAAAAGGGAGGCAAGGGATGAGATGAAGCCACTGGGATGAACCACCTGGGCTGGAGTGCAATCTAGCCTACAAGAGTCTTCCTTGAAGGCACAATATGACAGGCTGTTCTTCACAGAGGCAAGGCCAGAAGAACTGACTCCTCATGTAATGGTGCTTCTGGCTCAGCACCTGGCCCGGCACCGGTTGCGGGAACCCCAGCTTCTGGAAGCCATTGCTCATTTCCTGGTGGTTCAGGAAGCACAGCTCAACAGCAAGGTGGGCTGGCCTCCCACCCTTCCATGTTTCTCTGAGTTGCCCTCAATGACTTGGTTAGCGTCAGCCCCCTATCTCGCTTGTTTGGCTTCTCCTGGAGCAAGCTAGGCTGTGTTCTTTACCCCAGGACATGTCTCATGCTCAATGGTTGTCCAATTCCCATAATCAACAGAGTAGTATTTTTAGGGCCCTGAAGCTTTCCAAAGCTCCTGCATGGCCGGCTAGTTCTCTAGTCCTGTGAGCCATACCCCCACAGTTATGTTCTTACTATGGTAGGTAGCTCAAGACACTGCTTAAGCTATAGAACTTGGGGCATGTGCTGATGCGGAAGGCATTCTGCCCTGAAAACAGTGACTGAACCAGGCCTCCCTGAGGTTGTACCTATCAAACATGCCAGAGAGCTTGGCATGGTGGCATGTGCCTTTATTCCTGGCAGAGGCAGTATCAGGTGGCTCTCTGTGTTTGAGACCAGACTGCATAGCAAGTACCAGGTTAGCTTTAGAGACATAGAAAGACCCTGTCTCAAATGGGAGAAAGTAAGACACAGAGCAGTGTTTCCTGCTGGATAACGCTGCCTTTTTCTGCAGGTGGTACAGAAGTTGGTCCTGCCCTTTGGGAGGTTGAACTACTTGCCCCTGGAGCAGCAGTTTATGCCCTGTCTTGAGAGAATCCTGGCTCGGGAAGCAGGGGTGGCACCCTTGGCGACAGTCAACATTTTGATGTCACTGTGCCAGCTGCAGTGCTTGCCCTTCAGAGCCCTGCAGTTTGTCTTCTCCCCCAGTTTCATCAACCACATCAATGGTATGCACACAGAGTGGCTGGTGGGGCCAAGGGCTGTAGGGCCGGAGCATGCCCAGGTGTCAGCCGCCCAGTGTCCCCCAGTCCCTGCTTCCCAACAGGCACCCCTCCTTCTCTGATCGTGCGACGCTACCTCTCTCTACTCGACACGGCTGTGGAGCTTGAACTCCCAGGATACCAAGGCCCCCGTCTTCCCCAAAGGCATCGAGTGCCCATCTTCCCACAGCCCCTCATCACTGACCGTGCCCGCTGCAAATACAGGTGGGCTGGGGAGGGGCAGCCGCAGGAGCAGAGTAGGAGATCCAGAGCCAGTGTTTCCTAACAGAAAAAAAATATTCTTTCTTCCACCACTGTCCCTTTTCTTTTAGTCACAAGGACATGGTAGCTGAGGGGCTGCGGCAGCTGTTAGGGGAAGAAAAATACCGTCAGGATCTGACCGTACCTCCGGGCTACTGCACAGGTGAGGTGTGGGTGGGTGTGGGTGGTCAACAGCCTAAAGCTGTAGTATGGCTAAGGCTTCTCTGTCCTGCAGACTTTCTACTCTGTGTGGGTAGTTCTGGTGCTGTGTTACCTATGAGGACACAAGACCCCTTCCTGCCCTATCCACCACGGTCCTGCCAACAGGACCAGGCTAACTTTAACTCCACAACCCAAGACCCTACCCAAAGGTAAGGAAAACAAAACAGGGTTGGGGAGCCTTGGCTGCTGGTCCAACAGCAGCCTGAGCTAAGTCCCCTGCTCTCCAGGGTGGTGCTGATGCTGCGAGAACGCTGGCATTTCTGCCGTGATGGCAGGGTGCTCCTGGGCTCTCGGGCCCTGAGGGAGCGGCACCTGGGCCTAATGGGCTACCAACTCCTGCCGGTGAGGAATTCTGTCCCGCCCCACCCATGCGTGTTCTTCCAGCCAACCCACTGCAACCTGTCTTCTCTCCACAGTTGCCATTTGAAGAATTGGAGTCTCAGAGAGGCCTGCCCCAGCTCAAGAGCTACTTGAGGCAGAAGCTCCAGGCCTTAGGTCTTCGCTGGGGACCTGAGGGTGGGTGAGGGAATATACACGGGGCTCAGGATGGATCCCCTATGGGGAGGAGGGTGGACAATTTGCACTTTGGCTCCCTGTTATTTTTTCATTAAAATTCCTTTCCTTCCTGATGATGAATCTCATTTCTGGGAGAAGGAACAGGGCTGGGCCACCACCTCTTTCCATACGTGACCCCCAAAGACACAAGACCAAGCCTAGGTTGGGGTTGAAGCACTTTACTGCAGGGTGGGGAGAAGGGGCTTTAAATTATTCACTTAAATAAAAATGAGGAGGGGCAGGAAGGGACTCCAGCCCCCAGCCCCGTCCCCTGCCCCTTAGCCCCTCTGCTGTGCCTCTGGACAGCAGCTACACAGGCATGGGCCCCCTGCCCCTTAGCCCCTCTGCTGTGCCTCTTCAGCAGCTACACGGGCATGGGCATCTCGTTGTACTCATCCACACCTTCACACTCGTCAAACACTGGCTCTGCCTCGTTAGCATCCAGCTGTGAGGAGAAAGGAAGGAAGGGTTGACCTTTGTGGAATCATGGGAGAGACTGGAAGGAGAGAGAGGAGGGTGAGGGTGCTTACACATTTCATTTCTCGCTCAGTGAAGATTCGGGTAAGTACCACCATGCGCAAAGGCACTGTGAGGATGAGGATGAAGGGGAAGGCCAGGGAAGCAGCTGTGGACATGACCGCCCAAAGCAGGGCCAGGCAGAGCAACTGCAAGGCAGTGAACAGGTGCATCCGCATGGTCCGAACCTGGAGGCAGAGATGAGGTGAGCCTAGACATACATCCCAGCCAGCCAAGAGTGCCCTTCCCCTCCTCTGGGAGATGAAGTACTACAAGGATTTCCAGGGCTCTTGTGTGCAGGGAGGAGGCAAACAGGCTGGCCAAGGCTGTCCTTCAGTGCAGGAACTAACCTTCTTGACATAGGTAACATCTGGGTGGTGTTTGGGAGGCATGAGTAGCAGGTGCAACCGCTCGTAGAATTGGATCCCATTAAGGGAAGTAACTCCCATGTATAAGAAAATGCCAAAGAGCACAGCCAGGGGGATCTGCCGCAGTAGGTCCCCAATGACCATGGAGAGGCCTGGTAAAGGAGAAGAAACAGTTGGTTCCCTCCAATTGGTAAAGCTGGGGACCTTCCACGGAAGTTGAGGTTCAAAGTATAGGCAGCATACCCACAAGCAGGGCCACCAGCAGCCCTGTCACCCGCTGTTCCTTGACTTCCTGAATCTTGGGTTTGTCCCCAGGTGCCACAGCCTTGCTCATGACAGTGAGTGCGTTGGCATGAGTGACAGAGCGAACAGTGGCAGCAGCCAACCAAGGCAGGCCAAAGAGGGCACAGATGCCACCCATGGCTACAATGAGCAACAGATCGAGATGGAAGCCAGAGCCCTTCTGCAGCATCCTCTCTTTCTTGGAGATGATCAGCCTGGGAGGAGGGAGGCACTGTGAAGCCCAGGCTACTCACAGCATGGGAGATCATATCATTCCAGCGTGGCGCCGCTGGCTGGTTCTGGTCATTTCTGTCCACCCCCCGGGACTGGACCCCCATCACAAAACTGAACTTGTGTCCTTAGCCTGTGCCTTCAGGATTTCCCCTGGCAAGCCCTGCTAGGCTAGCCTGCAGTGCCTGTGCCCTGTCCAACCCCAGCTAACATCAGTGACATTTGTTACCTGGAAAAGAAGCTAGTCAGCCTGGCATTCAGGGTCCCCTGAGGTCACTACCTAAGGGCGATAGGTCCCATATCCCTGAGTCTGACTGAGGGCCCCCTCCCTTAGCGAGGATGGCTCACGTGGTGATCTGTGTCTCCATGAAGATGAGGATGAACACTAGAACAGCAGGCAGCAGGCTGGCCACCATCATCCACACAGGGAAGGGGGTCTTTTCTCCGAGGGGGTTGATGACCCAGCCCCGCTTATCTGGGGCTGTCACTGAGAATCCACTGGGCACACTCAGCTTCTATAAGGCAGAGACAGTGTGCTATTACATGGACCGTACTCAGTGGAACACCAGAACTGAGGGGGTGGAGACAGCCCAGGGTAGCAGCACTTCTCTGCCACTTGTGTGATGCCTTACCTGGGTGTAGGTGTCCTCAATACTGTAATCCACGAGCACCATGATGAGGATAGCGATGGGCACTCCAAAGTCCCCAATCACCCGCCGGATCTAAGAGGGTAAGCACCATGCTCAGAGGCCTTCTATCCCACGCAATCCCCCGATACTTCCAAGCCATTCCCTTCCCGTCTTCAGATCCTCCTCCAGTCCGCAAAAACCACATACCCGGCCAGGGAAGAACCGGCTGTTCTTGAATTTGCGCAGGAAGAAGGCGATGAAGAAAGTGCCAGCCATTAGTACCAGCGACAGCAAGGCTGTGTTGGGCTGGCCCCGGGGCCTCTCCTGCCCAGACCGCCCAGATGTGCTACTGTTGTCCGGTACCAGTGTGGTTGCTGCCCAAGTCATATTGTTACTGCTGCTGTCTGCCTCTGAGTCGTTGGAGACTGAGCAGCCATGGAGGGGATGCTCCTGGAAGATCTGGAAGGGAGTCACACAGGACCATGGGCTGAGCTGGGGCCAGGCTGGATGTCGGTGGTCTAGAGCGGGAGTCTGGCAGAGGCCAGCCTGCCTTCTAGAAGCTCATCTTACTAGGCTAAGAAAATGACTTAGCACTTGCTTCAGCAGCACATGTGCTAAAATTGGATACAGAGAAGATCAGATTATTCCCCGTGCAAGGGATGATATGCAGCTCTCCAGTGTTCCTTATTTTAAAAAACTTGACCCAGTCTATTTTAAGTTAACACTAAATCGTTATCTCAAAAAAAAAAAAAAAAGAAAAAAAATTCACAAATTACCCTCACACAAATTCACATGCACGGAGTCCGACCATAGATATACAAAGTTGTGAAATGTATATGTGGGAACTACTTTCACTTAGTTCATTGGTTTTTGCACCAACATTACTTTTTTCTTTTACTTTATTACATATATTTAGTGTGTGAATGTATGCATGTATACACGTAGGTGAATGTGTGTATGTGTGTGTGTGTGGTGGGGGGAGGCACCCATGGCACCCATTGTGGAGGTCGCAATGACTTTTGGGAAGCAGTTCCCCTACTATTAGGTGGGCCCCCAAAGATCAAATTCAAGTCGTAAGGCTTGCTGGCAAGTAACTTCACCCAGTAGGTCATCTTGCTGGCCCTCTACCAATATTTCATTTTCCCTTTTCAAGACAAGGTCTCTCTGTGCAGCCCCAGCTGGCCTGGAATTCACTATGTAGACTAGGCTGGTCTCAGAATCACAGCAATCTAATGGTCTCTGCATCCTCTGCTGGAGTGCTGGGATAAAAGCTGTACCACTGCACCCAGCCCCAACATTTCAATTTTTTTCTGGAGCTAAGAACCAAACACAGGCTCTTGCACTTGCTAGGCCAGCACTTTACCACTGAGCTAAAACCCTAGTCTCTATTATGGCATTCTGAGAAGAAACCATCTTCATCTTCACTGGCCAAAGGTTGCATGGACCATGTCCTGAAGCAGCTTCTTAAATGTCAATATTTATGGATGGCAATGTTTCTCTTCACATGCCTGTTCAGAATTTCAGATTTTTAAAATCACCAAATATTTTCATAGTCACATGTAGACATCTAGAAAATATTCAGAGGCTTTGGAAACCAACTGTTCAGCTTCATGTTGAGCAAGCATGACACATAATAAAGAATTTGAGCCTGAAAATGAAATCAAAGCAAAAGACCTAGTCGAGACTAGAGTCTGGTATAAGCAAGCATAAGGCTACCTGGGATAGAGAGGGGACGGGAGTGGGAGAGATCCAGAACCCAGGCTGGGCTCCAAAGGCTGAGGAAAGCCATGAGCACGGAGGACTGGGACTCCTGAGCTGCTAATGAAAGTGTATGTTATCCTTATTATTAAAAATATGTGAATTTGGGGCTGGAGAAATGACTTAGCGGTTAAAAGCACAGACTGCTCTTTAGAGGTCCTGAGTTCAATTCCCAGCAACCACATGGTGGCTCACAATCATCTGTAATGGGATCTGATGCCCTCTTCTGGTGTGTCTGAAGACATCAACAGTGCACTCATATACATCAAATAAATAAATCTTTAAGGAAAAAAAAAATGAGTTTTTTAAAAGGTTGATGTGATGCTCGGTGTTGGTGATGATGAGACCATGGAAAGGATGGGGGTGGGGCTGGGGCCAGCAGGCCAGCTGTAGCCCTGTATCTCATCTCTGCCACACTCCCAGTGGGCTTCCTGTTTTATCCACCTCCTCCAACCCTCTCTTGACTCCATGTTACTCTGTGCTCATGAACAGTCTCCAGGGGATGTCAGAATTAGCCTGGCCTGTAGTCCAGAAGGAAGAACCAAGATACAAGACATACAGAGACATAAAATGAAAAAAGCAAGGGCAATGGAAGCCAGCAAAACAGCTCAGTGGGTAAAGGCGCTTGATATCCATCAAAAGGTAAAAGAGTGAGCCAACTCCCTTGGGTTGTCTCCTGAACTCCACATGAGCACTGTGACACAGCTGTGTGTGTGCACACACAGATAACAAATAGAATTGAATTGAAACACTTTCCCCTAAGGACGAGACAGGATGCCCCAGGTTCCTTTGTACCCTATGCATGCCCACCTTGATCAGCTTATAGAAGGTCTCGTAGATGAAGATGAGTGATATGAGGAAGGCAAAGATCTCCTGGGTGAATCGGGAAACAAAGCGGACCAGGAAGCTCCCCTCCAGAGCCACCATGAGCAGGGCCAGGAACACCAGCCAGAAGCCAATCCACACTCGGCCCACCAAGTACTCCAACTGGTTGCTACTGCAGAACTGAACAGGAAAGGTGGGAAGCCCTTAGGAGTGCCAGAAACCATGTCTGGGAAGGATAGTCAAGTGGGATAGAAAGAGGTCTTACCGAGAAGAAGGCCTCCTCAAAGACCAGCAGAGGCCCAGAGAAGCCAATCACGAGCAGTGGCTGAGCCCCCAACAGGCAGAAGATCACTCCCTGGAGTGCTGTGGACATGATCAGCTCTGACACTCCTATCAGGTCCTGCGTCTTCTCCCCTGGAGGGGGAAGAGGAGCAAGCTCAGCACCTGGTGGCCAGGCCTGTGTACATCTGCCACTCCTGGTAAAACCTCTCCTTACCCAGTAGCCCCCCAAAGGTGATGGCAGGAGATAGGGCGGCAAAGTAGATGAAAATAACAGCAGCCAGGCACTGGGGGTCAAGTGCATCGCGGAAGTCACTCAGGTAGTGCGGGTAGCGTCGCCTCACGTCACGGATCAGCCCACCAAAGGGCCGGCCTGTCCTCCGAAGGGGATCATCTTCAGCTGCACCTGCCACCTCTACCATCTGCAGGAGTGCTGCAACCCAGGTCTCCATCAGGGCGCCTGTGGCACCCTCCCATCCACCCCATCAGGCCTTCCTCCATGAATGCAGACCATAGGGCTACAGTCAGAGTCAGGTCAGGTGCCTACAGGCTGTCCACAAGCTCCCTCCTTCAGTTAGCATCACCTGTCCCATGCCTACTTGTACAGGCGTACCCTTATCTTGGGCAGACTTGGGCTCTAGCCCAGCCCCAGGGGGCAGCAGGCGGCCCTGCTCCTCTCGCTTCTTTAGCATCTGGCGTTGGAAATGGGCGACAGAACGAAGCAGCTCCTCGCCCTGCACTTCTGAAGGCGGTAGCACAACACTGCAGTCCAGGAAGGCATTGATAGCAGTCAGCAAGTCGTCTCGTTCATCTGCCAGGTAGGCTGCCTCGTGGAATTGCTGCCCGAGCAGACAGAGATCAGGGAGGCAGAGGCTGAGAACTGGGGCTGTACAAGGTTAGTGGCTGGGGCAGGGTTTCAGGAGAAGGTTGAAGGAGAAGCAGCTGACCTTGTCAGACATGAGGGTGGAGATGGATCGGCCGATCTCATGGTAGTCCATGTTGGCACTGCTGGGGCCCAGCAGCAAGAAGAGGAAACGCACAGGCACAGGCACCTCTAGTACTGCATCTAGCTCCACAGCCTCCCTCAGGCGCACAAAGGCCATGGTAGGTCGGGAGAGGAACTCCACACAGCCTAGGGATGTGGAGCCACTATGGGCAAGAGCAGGTGGCAGGACCCCTCCATTTTCCAAGTCCTGGATGGCCCAAAAGCCTAGCTTCTAACACCCCCCTATCTTCCCCTCACATACCCACGAGGACCACTGTGGCCTCTGCATTCTCAGGGATCTTCTCCAGCAGCTTCAGCTCATGCTTGGACTTGGAGCGGGTAATACCTGCCGGTGGAGCTGGGGGTGGTAGCTCACGCTGGGGGTTGGGGTGGGAGGAACAGGACAGAATTCAGTCCAGGCAGCACCTCCCAAATGCCCTGGCTGCATTTCCACATTGGGTTTGCTCAGACCCTCCCACCAGCCCCTAGGCAGGACCCATTTCCCTTCACCTCTCTATCCACCTCCAGTCGGGTCTCAGGAACACCACCAATGAGAGGCTCAGTGACATGAGGATCACTCTCGGTCCCCTGGGTGTGGTGATGCCCCAGTAGAGAGCCTAGAGAGCCTGCTGAGATGTTTCGGGGGAAGGAGAACTCTTTCTCGTCACTTGGGTGGCTATTGGACAGAGGACAATGAGCGTCAGGCAAGGCCACAGCGGGGCTAGGGCCAAGCAAGCAGGATATGACTGGGTTCTCCTGGCCTGAAGGCCATACCTGTGCTTCAGCAGAAGGGCTCGTAGCACATTGGCTCTATCCTCTGCCTTGATCTGGTCAGAGATGACCATCTGCTCGACTACCTGATGGGCCACCCCAGGCAGGGTCTGCTGATCGAGGTCTAAGAGCACAGCTCCTGCCATAAGGTGGTAGAGAGAACTTGTCACCCCAGAAACAGTAGCAACAGTAGGGAGCAGATAGGAGGGGGAGTGGGGACAGGCTGAGCAGCCAGGAGATGTAGGCCGGCGCCTAGACCTGAGTGCCAGCTCTGCTCCTAAAGCCTCTGCCAATTTATCTATCTGACCTCTTTGTCCCCATCCTTTTCCCCTCCTAGGAATACTAAACAAGGCTGACTGAAACTACCACGATTTAGTTATCTGATGTCCTATCCAAGGAGCGCCCAGCTTAGGTTACCCAGGGCACCCACTCTAGCTATGCCCTCTTTGATGTTAGAAAGTTATTCCCAGTGCTAACCCACAGTGCTGCCTCCCCATGATGTCCCCAGGGTCCTAGATCTCCCTCATGTTCCAGCTGGCCTGTAGCCTTGTCTACATGGCAACCTGGAATCAACCGAAAGCTCCCAGACTTCCTGCTTCACTTCTGCAAGCACAGAAGGGGGCTTGCTGGTCACTCAAAAACATATAGAAATGAAATTCCTGTCAAAAGCTACCAGACACTTATCTGGCAAGGTCAACTTTCCAGAACAAAGAACTAAGGAATAAATAGACTCAAGTGCTCTGAGCAGCCCAAACAGCCTAAGAGATAAAGCTCTCCCTCTGGCGTTTCACCCAAAGCCCAGAAACCTCACTTGCAGCCGATTTGCTTTCTGTTTGGAAACAATTCCAACAACGGATATCTCAGTCCTCAGCTGCTTAGAAACAACCTTTCAAAGAACAACTGGGAGTGATTGCCCAACAGGAAGGAGGAAGAAAATCTACTGGAGTCCCGCACCTGTGGTTTTTCAGTGAAGCTGAGACAGTCTTACAGGTTAGGTAATATTCCCAGCCCCTCTAAGACATTAATGCAGAGACTGGGTGTGGTAGTACATGCCAGTAATTCCAGGACTCAGGAGGTAAAGGCAGAAGGATAAGGAGTTCAAGGTGAGTACCAACTACACAGTGAGTTCAAAGTTAGTCTTGGGGCATTTGAAA